TGTACAACTCTCTTCTTCGTCGCAAAAATATAATCGTGTTTGCCTAATTCCGCGCCGGATTGACGTCTCCGAAAGATAAATGGTTCGGGAAAACTCATTTCAATGGCGGTGAACAGACGCCAAATCGACTACGAACAAAAGCCGAATCGTTCAACTTTACAATGGCGAGACCCCCCCTCGGTGACACGCGCCGCAACGAGCGCATAATAGGATTATGATCGTTTTGCGCGTCGTCGGAGGAAAAAAGGTGGGCGCGCTCTTTTTTTTTCAATTTTGATTCCCGAAGCAATTTAACTTCGGACGTTTGCACGCCGCAGAAACTCTAAAAAGAAGACATGAAATAAACATGAACCGGATTTAAATCACTACACAACAGGCGCGCGGCGCGATATTTTGTTTACAGATCACGCATTTTTCCCCTTTATTTTTAATAAAAGGCAACGTTTATGTTCCCACAAGAGCGCAGTTGGTAGCATTGTATACATATATACTGCTAGGCAAAGTGAGTTGTGGCCAGCTCCCTCTAAGGGACCATCCAGTATTCTTAACACGCTTAGGTATTGCTGTTGGGGGCGGTGAAATATTTATAAACAAAACTAATCGTCGAGTCGACGGTTTTAAGTGTGTCTCTCCAGTGCTACCACTAAATATAAAGTTTTAAAGTCAACGTTCTTTTTATGCCGCCCGTGCTGGCTTTTAGCACCTGAAGATCAACGACACGGCCATTAACGACATTGATTTATTAAATATGTTAACAACGCGCGTGTAGCTTATTTTTTACGAGAACGTTGCGCCCGAAATAGATTTCCTCTTTTATTAATATCCGGTTTTCTTTGTAACTTTAACTGTCGCCATTAATTCTTACCCCCAACAAGGAAATTGCTCCTACCAGCGCTTGTCACGAATCTAGGTATGCCACAAGCGAATTTACCGTGACCAGTGGCGTAACTAGGTAGGTACCGCTCTAGGACACAACGCCATTAAAGAAAAAAACGGCAGTTCAATTTGAATAGTCTACTAAAGTCGACTACAGGATGCAGAACAAATTCGGGAGCCTTTAGGATGAATCTCATAAACGGGCGACATATATTTGACGCACTTTTGATGCTATAAATTTTCGTACTTTGTATAAACAAAAAAATGCTTGACCTCGATCTATTATAGTTTCAGAATGCAATAAATGAACGAAATGGATATTTAACTTATAAACAAAGCGTTCGGTAGGTAGTCAAGCATACCCGTTCACAAAGGTGCAACTTAAACGAGCAACTTTTTTGTTAATAAAAAAAGAAGTTTATAAGTCACGAAACTGATTGGTCTAATTAATGGGGGCGCAAATGCTGTCGTTGGGGACGTGGTTCGAAGACCGACTTAATTACATTTAACGTTGTCGAAATGATTAAAATTTATCCGTTCGGCCGTCAGTTATTTGTAATTGTAATTAATTTTCCTAATTACGTAAGCTGCTAGTAAATTCTATTACCTTAGCTGAAATGATTAATGAAATCTTCCTCTTATAATTGACCCACATTTTAATTTTATCACATTCAAATTCACTTTCCAATTCGCTTTTCAATTCTCATTCTAATGTACATTCAAATTCAGATTCAAATTCACATGAGAATTGATATACAAGTTTTTCACCTTCAATTTCGTGTTAAAATTCATATACAAATTTGAATTTTAATTCACAATCCAATTTACATTCAAATTCACATTTAAATTCACAACCAAGTTCACATTCAAATTCTCCTTGCCATTCACTTTCCAATTATAATTCTAATTCGCATTCAAATTCACATTCAAATTCAGATTTAAATTCACAATCAAATTCACATCAAATTCACATTCAAATTTAGATTCAAATTCACATCAAATTCACATTCAAATTCACATCAAATTCACATACATTCAAATTCACATTCAAATTCGCATACAAACTCACATTCAAATTCACTTTCCCATTAACTTTCCAATTCTCATTCTGGTTCACTTTCTCCTTTACATTCAAATTCGTATTAAAATTCAGAGTCATATTTACATTCAAATTCTAATTCACATTAAAATTCACCTTTGAGAGAGCAAGTCACCGACTGCCCCGGATGCGCTCTAGGACACCACGTCCGGGAGATCAGTACGGGGTATAGACCAGTCATTAAAGAAAAAACGGCAGTTAAATTCGAATAGTCTGCTAAAGTCGACTACAGGGTGCAAAACAAATTTGGGAGCCTTTAGGATGAATTTCATATACGGGCGATCTATTATAGTTTCAGAATGTAATAAATAAACGAAATGGATATTTAAATTGTAAAGAAAGCGTTCGGTAGGTAGTCAAGCATACCCGTTGACAAAGGTGCAACTTAAACGAGCAACTTTGTTAGTAAACAAGTATATTGTGCACAAGTCACAACTCTTGTGCAGATAAAGCGCATTTTTTTAACCGAAATGGCTTTAGTTTTGACATCACCAATGGATATATCTCTTGCAGGCGTCTCAATCGCCCTTTGTGAGTACCCTCTTCCGACAATTCGTTCTTGAGGTATAAGGGAATATACCCGATCACGATAAGAAGTCGAGGAGGATGGCTATGGTTGGTAGAAATTAATTCCGTTCGTTGAGACCTTTCGTTAGAGTACCATGAAGGATAAAATTAGTCCCACCACCCCCTCCCCCTCTACCCCGTACTTTGGTAAGACGACAGAAAGAAGGGCAGTAGTTGGTAGAAAACGGTTCCTTTCGTTGAGACCTTAGAACCTTAGAATACAATAAGAGATAAACTTATTTTTACCCCTCCCCCCCCCCCCCCCCAAGCCCTGTCGCTCACTGATCTCGAAAAAGAGTCGCACGGGAAAGTTATAGTTTGTACAAACCATTTTATTTCGATGAGACCTTTCATTAGAATACCATTAAGGGTAGAATGTGTTAACCCCCCCCCCCCACATTTTCTAAAGGCATACGTATGCAAAATCTGATACCAATTGGTTGTCGTATGTAAAAGTTCTGCATGTTTTACATTCAAAAACAGCATCTCAAGAAATAATCGCGGGAGGGGGGGGGGCGCTTTTAGACAGCGAAATTTGATGGCCGTCTGGCACACCTTCAAGGTATAGGCGATCTACTGCAAAAAATTCTAGAACTCTAGGATCATTCCCCTAGAAGTAGTTCAAAAGGGCGAAGTGGGTACGGACGGACGAAGGCACAAAACGCTAACAATAGCACATTTTTTTAAATTCTTGAACTGAAGTGCGAAGCCGAAAAGGTCGAGTAGGGGGAGAAAAAGGTTTAGTTCCGTTATCCTCATAGACCCCGGTGAGCCGGCGAGTCCTTGCCTCTCCGCTCGTTTCCCGAACGTCATTGGCAACTTTGTGTAGTCACATCCCTAACACCGCACCAATAGCAGTGTAGTGCATACCCTTTGCCCTTCGACAGTTTATAACTACGCGCTCTTTTCCGTCACAATTCAAACATTCTACTCCAAAAGTGCATAACTAGGAACGGTTTCTCACTATGTTCAATTGTTCAAAAAAATTCTGTTCCACGTCTCACTCGAAAAAAAAATGATCGCGAAAAGTAGGTTCAGGGCCAAGCTAAAGCGTAGTTGTTATCTAAACTCAATGTCACGGAATGTAATCGTGTTTCTTGTCAAAACTAACTAGGGTTATTGCCCGAACTAATGTCACTGAAGGCCATCGTGGTCCAAACTAAAAACCTATTAAAGGTCAAATGGCAGGGTTCATTACTGAACTCAATGTCACAGAAGTTGGTAGGGTTCGTTGAGCTTGATGCTACTGAAGGTCGTAGACGTAGGTCACTGAAAATCAAAATGCCCCATTCCAACATCGGAGTTGTTTCTTTGTCACCATAGCCTTGACAACGTGAATTTCATCAGTCAATGGTGTCAACTATTAGTTTTCAACGGTGTCCTCTTTTTCTACAGCTAACGCCATGCTTCATGGTACTTTGAGCTGCTTCTACCTTGAGAGCTGGGCCTCACTGCTGTCATGGCCAAATGTTATACATATTTTTTTCAGTGGTCAAGGGAGTACCGTTGGATTGTATCATTGTGGTGCAACGGATAATTGTCAACCAGAACATTCAACTTTCCGATTAAAATTGAGAAGCCTTCCGACCCCGACAGTTAAACTAAAGTGCGAAGCCAAAAGGGTCGAGTAGGGGAGAACCCAGTGAGAAAGAAGAGAAAAAGTGGAGCCGGAGGGTACTTACCTCTCCGCTCGTTTCCCGAACGTCATTGGCAATTTTCTGTAGTCACATCCGTCACACCGCACCGATAGCAGTGTATAAACCTTTGACCCTTTCATTTTTTTCACGTATAAAATTTTATGCGTTTCAAATTTTACAAAAGAGAAAGCAAAGCAAATCGTTCAAGCAAAACAAAAGAAGGTTTCTCTGAGTAGAAGGCTCCTTGCGTATGCAGGTCAACTTGTTGGTAATGTGTAAGTCGTAAGGGATGATTTCGATGTATTGTGGGTTGCGGCAGTATGGGGTTTATGTATCCGTTTCACCCCTCCTTTGTCTCCTAGCAGTGTTTCAACGCGGGAGACAGGGTCTTGGTGAATTTTGGTGGTCTTCTCCTCTTCCTCTGAGGTAGGGTTCCTTGGTATGGTTTTAGGGCGGACACGTGACATTTCCAGAGGGAGGTGCCTAGCTTGTTCGAGTCCGTTCGTTCGTATGTGATTGGGGATACCTGGTGCAGTACTGTGTAAGGTCCATCTCTCCTGGGGTTGAGTTTACTGCTTTGTTCTCTCCTGTTGGAGTGGTCGTCTCTGACTAGTATCGCTAACTGGGTCTTTGTCTCGGTATGTATGGTGGCGCATGCGACAGCGTCTGCTTTCGGTAGCGCGAACAGTTCCACCCGACGGGATGCTCACTAAAGCTATCAAGGTCAAAGAATTTACGCTTCTAGCAAGCCTCCATTAATATTGCTTTGTGTTATTTTAGGAACTTTTGAAGAAAGCGTTCGGGGGGTAGTCAAAAATATCCGTCGACAAAGGTGCAACTTAAACATATGAGTTACTAGATACTTTGATCACTCGGAAGAGAACGGAGTGAAATTACTTGCTCATATAATCGCAGTGACCGGATTTACACATTTGCAGGATAAAAGGTAATTTGTTTTCTCTGGAGGAAAGTTTTTTTTTTGGATGGTGTAATAGAAAAACTCTTTGTGAAAGACATTATTTTTTAATCAGTAAACTTAGTCCAATCGTGGATACCATCTAATAGCGTCGACAGCAATTTTTTCTTCCTCTGGGACAAGAACCCCTACAACATGGCACGAGTTAGTCTAAGCGTCGGTAAGATAATTGTACTGTTAACTCACTGAACTTCTTCTCCGGCATTGCAGGATGGCACACACATGCGACAATGGACACGTGCTTCCACTGCACAAACCAAGACGAGCACCAACAGTATGAAAATTGACAGTTTCATCTCGAACACTTTGAGTGAACTTGGAAATCGGTCGTTTTTATACGAATCCCTCCACTCGAGATAGTCACCTAAAAAAAACCCTTGTTTATTGTTTACTTTTTATCAATTGGTGTTATCTCTAGAAGTACTCAGAAACTATTAATAAAGGTACTTTCCCTTTTTATCGATCTTCACGAATTTAAAAATCGCCTGACATCATCAAATGATGATTCGACAAACAAAAACATTCATAACGCAGTGTCGGGACGCTATTTACATCTTTTCTTTTGGTCAGCTTGTGTTGCATCATCCAGACCGGGTTGGCTGGTCGCGGTTGCGGAGACACAGACACAGGGAAAATATTTTGGCAGTTGACTCGGGTGAAATTTTGGGCGGTTCTCAGGAAGTATCTTCCTTCGTCCCGGAAAACATCCACTTTTTCGCCTTGGTACACAAAGTACCATTTTTCACCTGGTGTTACAATTGACCTAAATGAGAGTTTTTTCCGTGACTGTTCGCCCCCCAATCACCCCACTCCTATTATGAAACAAGTATAAATTGTGCAAAACTCTTGCGCATTTTTTAAAACCGAAATAGCATTTGTTTTGACATCACCAATGGATATATTTGCAGACGTCTCAATCGCCCTTTGTGAGTACCCTCTTCCGACAATCCGTTCTTGAAGTATAAGGAAATATACCCGATCACGATAAGGGGTCGAGGAGGAGGGGTATGGTTGGTAGAAATTAATTCCTTTCGTTGAGATCTTTCATTAGAGTACCATGAAGGATAAAACTAGTTCAACCCCCCTCCCTCTCCGCCCCGTACTTTGATAAGAGGACAGAAAGAAGGGCAGCAGTTGGTAGAAAACGGTTCCTTTCGTTGAGACCTTTAATTAGAATACAATGAGAGATAAAATTAAATTTACCCCCCCTCCCCCCCCTCAGGCCCCGTCGCTCACTGATCTCGAAAATGAGGTGCACGGGAAAGTTATAGTTTGTACAAACCAGTTTATTTCAATGAGACCTTTCATTAGAATACCATGAAGGGTAGAACATGTTACTCCCCCGCCCTTTTCAAAAGTTTAATTTAGCACTACTCAAGGCATGCAAAATCTGAGACCAATTGGTTGTAGTATGTAAAAGCTATGGACGTTTTACTTTCAAAAACAGCATCTCAGGAAATAATTCGTGGGGGGGGGGGGGGGGAGCTTTTAGACAGCGAAATTCGATGGCCGTGTGGCACACCTTCAAGGTATAGGCTACCTACTGCAAAAAATTCCAGGACTCTAAGACCATTCCCCTAGAAGTAGTTCAAAACGGTAGAAGTGGGTCCGGACGGACGGGCGGACGGACAAAACGCAAACAATAGCACATTTTTTAAATTCTGGGACTTCGGAGTGCGAGTATATGTACTATACCGAACCTGGACCGTTCAAGGTCGCTCGTGCCATTTGGAAATTAGATCAAGGTGAACATTGATTACCGCGCGGGTGGTGACCTTGGAAATAAGGTCAATCGCGCATCACGTGAGCGTGGACCTTGTAAATGTTATTTTACACCCCAAAAAATGTAATATGATAATTACCGCCCACCGCCATTAATGTGGTGTAAAATTACATTTTTAAGGGCATACAAGGTCATTGGCCCCGCGCTGTTACATTGCGCGTTCGAGATCATCCCAGGGCAATGACCTCAATTGTGGTGTCAGAATTCATGTTCAATGTTATCCAATGATGACCTTGAACATGTATAGGACCAATGACCTCGGATGACCTTGAGAATGTAATTTGACACCACAAAAATAGAATCAGGGTGACCTTGAAGTTTTATGGAGTCAATGACCTCGAATCACCTTTGGAATGTAAATTGACACCACAAACTTAGAGTCAATACGCTTGAATAACCTTGAAAATTTATGGGATCAATGACCTCGGACGACCTTCACTAAAGGCATGCGTGTGCAAAATCTGAGATCAATTGTTTGTCGCATGTAAAAGTTATGCACGTTTTACTTTCAAAAATAGCATCTCAGGAAATAATTCGGGGGGGGGGGGGGGGGGCTTTTAGACAGCGAAATTTGATGGCCGTCTGGCACACCTTCAGGGTATAGGCTACCTACTGCAAAAAATTCCAGGACTCTAGAAGTACTTTGAAACGGCAGAAGTGAGTCCGGACGGACGGACGGACAAAACGCAAACAATAGCACATTTTTTTAATTCTTAAAAAATGCGCTAAAAATCCAAGAAACTTCAGATTGACAAAGTGTGGGTAGCGGTGCACTGTTACTTCTCTTTCACACACATTTTTTTAACTTTGATCGGCAACCAACCTTTGAACTTTGAACGGTCGGCAATCTTTGAACGACAAAGAATGGACATTGACCGGTAGCCAACCTTTGGATTTTGATCGGCAAAGCGATAGCTTGACCTACTCCAGGACCAGGAAGACTTGGAAAAGGAGTAAGAGTGGACCAGAAAATGGATGTTTAGAAGAGATTCAGGCGGTGCGTCATCTCAGTTGCTCAATTGAATTGGTAGCACAGACACGCTTTCCCCTTATACTATTCGACGAATTTCATACTCCTATCTGTACTCCATTTTTGAGGTACCATTGTTATTGATGCAAATTTTATCGCGTCGGGCGCGAGAAAGTTCAGTTTACGTAACGCAGTCAACTGGCTGCAGTCCTCCTTTGAGTAGTACTCTCGAAGCCAGTGGACTGGCGCGACTGGACTGCCACTGGAGTCCCGTTATTGGCCTACTTACTGGCCTCGTGTAAACGCGGCATTAATTCTAATGACACGGAAAAAAGATGTTGCTATTATACAGACCTTACTAAGTTTCTTTTGTTTACACTTTTGTCAAATTTGTGTAAGGTGGGTTGCATAACTGTCAGGCATGGCCATACATTGACTTGCATATTTAAGAATTAAACATAGAAGATTTATATGTGCAAAATTAAAATTTACGCACTGCATGATCTAAGAAGATAACCATTTATTTCACGTGGTAATACGGAATCTTGATGGGAGGCGAGTGATTTCTGGTTCTGGTTATTAATTCTGGTAGGCAAGTGATCGGGTAAGAAATCTCAGGAAGAATCACTGGTCAAAGTTAGGAACAAGTAAAAGGACAAACGAGTTTGAAATTGAGAAGGGGATATAAAATCAAAGGATGGGGACAAGAGCGGGTGACATCTAACGTAGGAATTTTACAACACTTATTGCAGAGTTTTAATAAATAAGTTTCTAGGTTACCGATTTTTCTTACATACGCTAGCCGATTAAAGTCGAACAAAATGGCGTACTTATTTTTTCAGAATCTTAAAAATCAAAGGCAATTTCAGTAGGAGTATATCAGAGTCTGCTGATTTTAGAGATGTATATTTCAACCTATTGTTGGGCGTTTACTCAAAAGTTTTAGCAAAAAAATTCCAGAAAACAGTTTCACACTGCCTGGTTACAAGATGATTCTTATAAAGTAGCACTGTAACGGGAGCCCGCGACCGTATATTCTTTAATTTGCCTTGAATGAACAAAAGTCCGAAGGTCAGTTTGGTTTTCAACATCGAGTTTATCTCAAAGATATACATCGAGACTGTGGGGTCATTTATAGTTTAAAAGTTACCCGATACTAAGGACCACCCTGTATGTCAAGCTCTGCGGATTTTATGACTGAAAGAACAAGCTAGCATGAGCAATGGGTCGTTTCAACAAATTTAGGTGGTAGGAATGATGTCGTTGGTGGTAAGCCGGGAAGCAATACGCGTGAAGCCACGAGAGCGATTGTGTTGAAGCGTTCTGAAGAGTTCTGAGATGCCGGAACTTTCGGCAAATGAAGAATAGTATCCACAAAGTAAACGTGCGGATCAAAGTACAGTGGGTTATTGATAAATATTTCAGGTTCGTTGTTCTATTTATTAAATTCTTGCAAATTTTTTCTGTACTTCACTTCCAGGATAGCTCAGATTGGCTCAAGTTTATTTGTGAAATTTGATATCTCGAGAACTCACTCAATTTCAATATTAGCGCACTTTTGAAATAAGTCCTTTTTACTTCCCCTTAGAAAATAGGTATTAAATGTGAAATGGCTGGCGCCCGTGTGCAGCGTGCACGGTTGGTACGGTCGGCGTTATGCGACTAAAGCTATAAAGGTCAAAGAATTTACCCTTCCAGCACGCCTACATTAATATTGCTTTATATTATTTTAGGGAGTGGATACTCTAGGAACTTTTGAAGAAAGCGTTCGGGGGGTAGTCATAGATATCCGTTGAGGAAAGGTGTAGAAATGTGCAACTTAAACAGGGGTTAAAATGAGGGTTTCTATACCTAGGTCTTACGAACTGGACCCCATTGTCGCTGATTTAGTACTTCAGATTGAGCGATCCGAGGGACATCGTTACCTTTACCGCTGTTTATTTATAAAAGTCAAATTTGTTGTCGCCCCTGGAATCTGTCTACTGGTGTAGTACTTGGGCTAAGTACAAAGTTACATATTAAAACCGCAAGGTATTTTATCTCTTTATCGGGAGCAGAATACTGGTTAATTTACAAATGTAAAATGGAAAGAAAACACAAATTCAAACGCAAAAGTTTTTATTACATCAGGCACATTTGTCTGGCTGCTGGTCTGTCTCTCTAAAATCGTTGACAACAGATAGGTCTGCCGTTGTTGCAAGTACCCCTGCAATGTTAAATCGGTAAATATCGATTGAAAAAATAGTTGTTAGCGTACCATTTACGTTCACGACCTCTGCAGAAACGCGGGCACATACGACAGTAAATACGCGCCTCGGTCGCACAGACCAAAATGAGCATGATCAGCACTAGCTTGAACACTGACATCGCGAACAATCCCAGTGCGATCAGAAAAAAAGGTTTTATATGGGTGGGTGTAATGTAATGTAACAAAAAAGTTTGTTGTTTACGGAATTATCTGATATGCCTTTGTTATCTCTAAAATTATTGATAAATATATTGCGATGAAGGTACTTTCCATTATTGAACTATTGAGAAAGTGTGAAGGCAACGTGCCATTATCAAAAGTAATCGGGAACCAAGGAGTTTAACACAATATTGCAACATCGCTAATTTACAATGTCAAACAAAAGAACCTGCAAAGTCGAAGGTTCTTGAAATAACACCCCACACCAGCATAGGAAGGTGACAAGGGAACACAGAACCGAGCTACAGCTGATCTGGTGAGGCAGATGCCTAGGTATCCAAGGCACAAGTCACCCTTCCCCAGATTTTTAGGTTTTTGTATTTGAGAATTCGGAGTTTGCGTAAAATAGTTAAATTTAGCAACTTCGCCCACTCAAAAATTAAATTAAATTAAATTAAATTAAATTAAATTAAATTAAATTAAATTAAATTAAATTAAATTAAATTAAACTAAACTAAACTAAACTAAACTAAACTAAATTAAATTAAATATATCAGTACAGGGTTCAAGCTCCGTGTACAACTAAAATACAATACAATAGAAGGCTACATATCCATAAGGCGGGGGTTTCATGGCATTAAAACACATAATAACAAACTTTTCTCAATTGTTTATAAGAAATAATAGCTAACAACAAATTCATACGCAGTTCCGTTGAGAAAGTGTAGGTGGCGCTGTGTGAAAAATCAATTTGCGGATTGTTCTCGAATATTTTTTATTAAAAAAATATGGGGCATTTGTAGAAAAAAACAAAATATCAGCATTTTATGAAAAATGTACAGGGTGGCCAACTAAGAATGCGAGGTACTGTATCTGGGAACTTATCCATCGTAGAAGCTTGCGGTAAAAAAAGTTATTACTAAAACCGCCACGAGAAAAATCTGAAAAATATTTTTAAGTTTCTGAAATGGCCGCTAGGGGGCGTAATTGCAATCTGGAATCTAAAAAAGTGATGTTTCTATGAATTCCGCTGTATTAACCTAACAAAAAAATGTCCGGTCATTGAAGTCGGCGATAATCTGAACATTTTTTGTTTGATAATTATTGCTGTATCTCTAAAAATGAAGTGGTGGGGGGTATTCAAAGGTTTCCATAAAGAACACCCTATATCTTCCAAACGGCTAAGCCGATTAAAAAAAATCGGGTTAGTTCAAAAGAGCTATTATTCAGCTACAAATATTATAATATTTGAAGTTTTGTTAGTTTCACATATCGCCGCTTGAGGGTTCGATTTTTTTTTCAAGAAAAAGTAGCTAAATGATGCCTAAACAAGGTCGCGAAAACAGCATCTCAGCATCTCGATACCTTGAGATATTATATAATTAAAATAATTCCGGAAAAATTAGCTTAAAAAAATAAAATTTTGAGGGTATAAAATTTTCATTAGCCTAAATTTTAGATTAGGAACAAGATATCGAGATGCGGTTTTCGCGAGTTTGTTTAGGCATCATTTAGCTACTTTTTCATGAAAAAAAAAGCAAACCAACGCATTTAATTTTTTTGAGAAAATTAACCATTTCTGTCGGAATGTCGAAGAAAGCCCTCAAGCGGTGATATGTGAAACTAACAAAACTTCAAATAGTACAATATTTGTAGCTGAAGAATGGCTCTTTTGAACTAACCCGAGTTTGTTTAAATCGGCTCAGCCGTTTCGAAGATACAGGGTGTTCTTTACGGAAACCTTTGAATACCCCCACCACTTCATTTTTAGAGATAGGTACAGGAAAAATTGTCATACAAAAAAGGTTCAGATTATCGTCGTCTTCAAAGACCGGACATTTTTTGTTAGGTTACCGCAATCCTCTACGATGGACAGGTTCCCAGATACAACCAAAATACAATAGAATAGAAGGCTACATGCCCATAGGCATGCAGTAGCCTTTTTTCTTATTCGCTCAATGTGCCCTTTCCAGATCTGGCGGGAGTCTATGATGGGTCCCAAGTATTTTACTGGCCTAGTCAGAACCAGTTGATCTCCTCGCTCCCCTTCTAATTCGTAAATGGAACCACCTGTACCTTTTAACGGATCGAAAAGTGGTACAAAAAATTTAAATAAAAATACTACAGGGTCGGTCGCTGGTACCGAGTGTAAAATAATCTCAGTTTTTGCCATATTTTGGGAGTGGTCCGGGGTGGGGGATCATATTTCGGTAATTGGCGCCAGGGTATTTTGGTAGTTGACCCGCCATCTTGGACGACGTTTTGAACCATCTTGGATGCTATTTTGGACCCACCACCAAGTCCAAAGGTTGAGTGCCGTTCAAAGTTCACACAGTTTGCTCACCGTTCAAAGTCCAAAGGTTTCCGACCGTTTAAAGTCTAAAGGTTGGTAGCCATTCAAAGTTCAAAGGTTGCTCGCGGAGCAACGGCGATCACCGCTCTGTTTCGTAACTGAGCATTCAGTTCAGTCAGTCGACGCCTTGTACGTTCATTAAAAATGGATTTTTGAGATTCTTAGTCGAAATACAGTGCACAAACGGTCAACTGCCGAAGTATTACCGCCAAAAATTTGATCCGGGACAACTACCAAAATATTTTCTCGCAGTCCTAGAGAACGGCGGAACGGGTGTGCTTCGGGGCGCCACCAGAAGGTTCTCGGAAACCCTGCTTCTGGCCAGGATTCGGAACGCGGCCCCGGCGGCATCGGATGTTCCAGGCAACTGGGGCGGAGAAGGCGTTCCCAGGAATCTGACGGGTTCATAAAATAGCTGCGGTCATGTCCTAAAAACTAAAACAAAATTACGGCACACGCCCTAGCCGGAATGAAAGCAACAAGGCACAAATCGGCGGAAGCGGCGGAAAAGGAAATGCGGGAAAACGAAAAATTCCCCCCCCCCCCTTATAATGAATTAAACAGATAATAACAAAAAGCTTAGCTTGAAATGAACGGAGCGGTAGCAAAAAAAGTCGCTCAACCCAATTTCAATTCATACGGTGGGAATTGAATAAAACTTTGTCTTGCGGGTCAAGAATTAGTAAAATATATTACGCACACAAGGCCAGGAAAAAACCTTCAATGGGCAAAAAAACCTGACATAATAGAAAAATACAAGAAATAAATCGACTACAACAACAAAATGCACGAGAAAAAAATACACAAATCAAACATCTCAAATTGTATAATAAAAATCATGTGATCGAGTCAACTGCTATTAAACAAGTTAATAAAAACGAGATATAATTCAAACACAATGGAAAACGGTATAAATCAATTTGGTACAAAAACACATCAAATACATCTACGGTTCAATTTAAACAAAACAAATGGTAAAATGATCATTTGCATGTACATAAAAAAACATCAAAATAGCATGACTTTGCTCCCGGCATCGTCTACCATTAATTAACATGCTAAATTAAATAATCTTACAAACGGGCCCACACCCTATACAGAAAAGGTGAATTAGAGTGCCCCCCTTCTCGTGTTGCACGAGATGAGGAAGCAACATATAACAGCGAAAATCGAAATTGTATGAGGCACTTCCTCCACGGGAAAAACGGTTAGTCGACACATACATGGCAACATCACACCGATTAAGTACTGCCATGTCAATAGACACTTAATGAAATAATATAAAGGCATACCCACCTATACAGTATAACAAACAAAATTACAAAATTAAACTTCTGGTATCCGGGAGGGGGGGGGGGGTGATTTCACTCAAGTTTCACAGAGGACAAGGAGGGGGTCTTACGACATTAAAACACACTCACGAACTTATCTCAATTGTTGATAAGCTAACAACAAGCTCATTAGCAGTTCCGTAGAGAAAGTGTAGATGGCGCTGTGTGAAAAATCAATATTTTGCGGATTGTTCTTGAAGACAGTATCAGCATTTTTGTCAATTTTGCTATTTTCAAACAAAATAGACAGGAAAAAATATTGAAACAATTCCAATATGTTTCTGTCGCCCCACGTTGGGCGCCAAATAAATAATGCTGTGCCCCACGTTGGGCGCCAAATGAATAATGTGTGCAATGGTATGCGGTCAAGTACACCACACACAAAACTCCCTCAACTAGCTCATAATAATCAAAATTGAAACTTACAATTATAATAATTTCTCCTCGTAGACTTCCTGATACTGCTACAAAGAAAAATCCCAATATTGACTGAAATTAATAATTTGGGAGACTCAGTGGCTCCGATCAACTTTCATAATTGTTTATTACGCGAATTTTTATCAACATTTTGGATACGAAGAGACAAATTTGACATAAAAACTCTATACGGGTCGCACAATGGGTTCATGCACAACTAATTGATTGACAATGAGAAAAACACATTCAATGAAAATAAACACGAAATTCCTGAAATACAGAGAAGTTTACAAAGCTTGTCGTTACATGGTACCCCGTGCGCAGACGGTCGATAATTAAAAATTTTTTTTTCTCTTTTACTAATCCTAAAATCTGGTCGTGAATAGGTTTGACGCACTTAACACAAACACACAACTCGACGTCGAACGAGTCTCTACTCATACATGTATCAAATGAAGTGCTCTCGATTGATGGTAATCAACAAACAAGCTTTTGTACGTAAAATTTTATTTCTAAAGTGGCAGACTTTTATCTCGATTAGAAATTAGGCTTCAAATTTATCTAGAAACCAATTTAGATTACCTGAACGCTTCAGTTTTCCCTTTACTACCCGATCCTGTTTTCCAATTTCCCTATGAAAAGCTTCCAAAAAGGTCACAATAAAACTTTTTATCTAAGTACATTACATAATCTTATTTTCCTGAGACGAGCGTCGATGTAAGTTTAATACCGCGTCTCATTTTATCGCCGCGGGAGGCGCTGTTTACAAAATTATTTAATGTAGCATAACCGCTCGAAAGATTTGAAAAATCAATAAAATAAAATGCAAATTTTCGTTAAGTTAACCAGGAAATTTCCCGTTTCGCCAAGAATTACACTTGCAGAACCCTCCCTAACTTAT